AAAACCACGATTGTCCCTTATTTTCCTTTTCTGAAGTTGGCAACCCTACCTGCAGGGAACTTCTGGTTACAATGGCACCTATCATTTTGACAGTTTGATCATCTGAAGCTAAAAGGTGAGTGGTATTTTTTTTCCAGATATGGAACATCTAGACAGAGTTTCCTTCAAGCAGTTTCCAACTCAGATTTATATCTTTAAGCCTTATCTACAATTGATAACCTTCTGTATCATCTAGAATGTAAAAATATTGTTTGTTTACTACCACATTTATTTATTTCTGCTTAACTATTTTTATTTTATTACTAGCGATTTGCTCACTTAACTTTGGTTGTATTCATTTATTTATTTATTTATTTTGCTACCTATTTGTTTTGTTTTGTGATGTTATCGTTCATTAGTCACGTGGTATTTACAGCGCAGGTGATTGGCTCAAAAACCTAAAAGCAAAAATGACAGATTTTAGTTAGGTGGAGTCCTGCGCCAAGCCGCAGCTTTCTTCAGGTGTTATAGACCCGTTGGCTGTATAAGCAATTTTAGTCTATTTCTAATTTCATCCACACATTCTCTCACCCAAAAATTCGTCTTCCAAAGATGCCTCAGGATTCACGCAGAGAGTGTTTCTGATTTCCATCGTGCATTCGTTTCTAATTGAAGCGTAGTCAGCTCATGGGGGCGCTGTTGGCCTAGATGAAGACTTAATTGACCTGTGGAACATGCATGAAGAGATGTCCGATCTCATGAGTGCCTTTAGTTTGGTCACGGTGGGTGGAGGGATGAAGGATTTCCTCCACCCCGCGAGCACTTCCACCTGCTCTCTGACTGATTCTAATTTTAGTCCGCATTATTGATGTCAGCCATGTGTAATTGCCATGGTTTTAGTTTCTCACTGAACATCACCTGCAAGGCACTAGCCTACTATACTTCTCTAATCTGACACGTTAGCTCTAACAATTACAAAGTGATACTTTTTATTCTTATTTTTAAAGTTATTTTCCCTAACTGCTGTGTTTGATGGAGCGTTATTTTAGTATTATTTCTATACTATTATAATATTTATTCATATTTTGAATTAGCTTTCATGTTGTTTTCAGTTATTATTTTAATTTAGTTTGTATGTGTAGCTTTAAATTATTAGTCATTTTATTAGTAAATTATTTTGTTAGTAAAATTACTAACAATTTAAAGCTGAATGGTACACTAGTCCAGCAAATTAGTATTGAAGTTATAAAGAGGTATTTTGAGATGTTAACTTCTTCTAGAACATGGTATCAAACTTGTATGCTATCTCATAATTGCTCTTTTCTAATTGTTCTTTTTTTCCCCCCCTTACTACTTTAACTACTTTTCTTATCAGTGCCTTTTCTCAACAAGCTGTTCTTGTGTCAGGATAAGCAGAAGCCTCTTGCGCTTTGAAAATGATTGTTCTAGGACCATTTGATGAAGTGAAAGGAAATCAAGTTAGAGCCTGATGTGTAGCTCTAGGCAATACTTTGGATCGATTAAAGAAAAAGAATGTCCCTGCTTTGTCCTGATGCTTTGGAGACAAACATGCACTTGCTTTTTATTCAGCTCACATTTCATTTTACAACACTGTGAGTTTCCTGATACACTTCAATTCATGCAGAGATCTGTTTGGATGTTATAGTGATCCTGTTTTGGTAAGTTGCACAGCCAGTTGAGTTTTATCCCCCTTTTCTAGTGTTTTCCCATGGCTTGGTATTATCTGCCTTTCTGTGCAGGTGGCTCCTGTTGTTTCGTGGAGGTGGGTAATATGGTTATTGACTAAAGTGGCCATTAAACCAGCACTTAATAACCTGGCAGTGACATGCAGCACAGCCCTCAGTCACAGTTTTCAGATGCCGCATCGTTTCTCCTCCGCACTTTAGAGCCAAACACACAAATGAGAAGTGAGCGGATATCTGACTGAAGTGGATGAGGGAAGGATTCTTTCAGGTGTGAGAATCAAAGGGATTTTTTAAAGTGGGGCAGAGCACCCACTCTCTCTCAGTCAAATGGAGATTTGGTGTGGGGCTAGAAAGTGATTCATTTTTTATGTCAAGACCTAAGGCGAGTGCGAGTTTCTATAATTTCCCTTGATGGCATACTTCAAAGATCCAATCTATACTTGTCTTCTATCTTACTGTACCGCTAATGCTTGGCCTCCAATGAAATGTGCTGGCCCTTCATTTTCAGTAACATGGAAAATGTTTCACTGCTCATGAATGCTAAGGTGGCCACAGCTGGAGGATGCAGATGCTTGAAGTTATTATGCCAAGAGGATGTTTTCTCGCCTGCTGTGAATTTAGCTGCCATTGTGCTGAGCTGGGCATGGAGGTGAATATTCAGTCATAAATTAATCTTTTGTTTTCATGGTAAATTATTTTGGAGATTAAAGCTGCAGTCCGTAACTTTTTTTGGTTAAAAATGATCTGAAATCAATATTTGAGCAAGTACATAACCAGCCAGTGTTCAAAACTATCGCCTTACTTTAGCCCGATTCACAACGGTTATCTTATTATAATGTTTTCTAATTTGAGTGGTACGGGTAGGTTTTCGCGGGAAATTCGAGCATGGCACTGCGTCATTACGTCACGTCTGTAAACATAAAGAAGTTGTCCCGGCTACTAGGCTATCACATGTGAGGATACTGCAGGTGGCCGATCGTTTATAGCCTTTTCTCACAGCAGCTGGAATAATTAAATGTATCATTTTGATGGCGGATTGTAATCCAGAAAGGATTATGTGTTTATGAAACACATGTGAATGAAATTAAATTATATTCCAGTTATAAATGTGCTTCTGATTACAGATAGCCTGGGATTACAAAGATTTGTATTTTAAAGAAAACCAGTTCGAAGGGAGCATAATTTGCTTTTTGGGT